TCAGATGTAAACAATATATAAAATTTATTTAGTGTTTGTACCTCACAAACGCCCAATAAGGTATATATGAAAATATTTAAAAAAAGCACGAAGGTACTTGAAACACTGAAAAAAAAAATATAGCCATGCAATTAATTTTCGCACAATTGAAAGATGTTCCTACGGATGCGGCGTGCCCACAGTTCCCGTGTGCTAACAGTATTGCTTTACGTTTTACAGCGATCAGCTCTTAGCCTCACGCTCTCCGGAAATACTTGTCGTATCCACAAATCCTCTCCTCTCTCCGCCCCCCAAAGCTGGGATTACAGGTCACGCTTGTAATGTCGCGTTTACTGTACTCAAACGCCTCTTAACATATTTCATAAACACTTTGCCATCATTATGAAACGCATTCATGCAGACCAATATGAACATCAATCACATCATGGAAATTTACTGCTTTCAGTCAAGATCAATACTGTTCACTGCTTTATTGTTCTAACCCCGAAGCAAGGTGATTTTACGTTACAGACATTTTTCAGTGTGTATTGCATTTAAATATTGCATTTCTGTCTGAGGCTTATGCCCACTCACAACCTCCTTATTGATATTTTTTGTGTTTTGTTCCTTTCTATTGTTTTTGAATCAAGAAACGTCCCTGATTTACATATTTTCGCCACCATTGTGAGCCTGTTTAAGGGGCCAGTCAAGCTGCTTGTACAGCGTTTCTTTTTTTTTCTTTTTTTTATGGGCCCTCACCTGGGACACCCATCTATATGGTGAACGACATATTATTATTACGCTTAAAGTTTGCGTTTTTCTGAGCACGACTTTCAATGAGTTACATGCCCATTCTATTTGTATCTCGCATTTCACCGAAGTTGTGCTAAAAATTACTGACGTAATCGAATATTTATGGTGATTGAAAAAATCAAGGTCTACCTTTGTATTAGTTGCATTATCTACATAGTCCGTTGCACCTCAAGAAGGTAAGGCGAGGAAAAGGAAGGCCGGGGAGGAGGAAGCAGACGGAACGGTAGAGAGGAGGAGGTTCCCTCTCTCTTCCAGCTTCAGCAGAGCGAATCACTGTGCTTATGTCTCTTGGACAGCCCCGTCACTGCCTAGCTTCGAAAACTATTCCCTAACTGACTCGTCAAATATTTATTCGTAACCTTTAATATTAACATATGGAGCTGCATTCAACAGGAAAATTTCTAAAAAAATAGCTAACCTACGATCACATTTCTTTCACTAAGTCACCCATGGCGTACTCCAAAATTTTGGTCACCAGGGAATTAAGCATCTACTTCCCGAATCACTAAAGAGCATTGCAACAAATGGAATCGATATTCTTTCTGTACCCGAGAAGCATATATCAAACGTTTTACAAATGTGCATGTAGTAATTTCTGATATGGTAAGATTGTGTAACTCTTGTGTGTTCTCGTATTTTGTTATTTATTACTTCTGTCTTTTGGAGCTTTTGTCTGCTTGCTTTGTAAGGGTGCCAAGGGGTTGTCAAGCTGTGTGAAACGGCTTTTTTTCCTTGGCATCCACATCCCCCAAGATGAAAATAAAACACTGTTCAATGTTCGATTCAATACCCGCGGAAGCGAAGCTCCGCGGGTGTTGCTTTTCTGAATTACAGCGGAGCTCGGTAAGAAGCGCACTCAACGGGGTAACCCGCGCCGCAATCAACATTTAAAAAGTATGAATATCGCGATTACATGCTTGGAAGAAAAGTGTACATTATAAGCGGGATGGTGAGCGCGTCAAGGGTCTATTTGAAAATAAATGAAAACTTTGAATGTGTTTATCTACATTGTAGTATAATTTTCAAAATTAAACTGACTGTTATGCAAGAGTGAATGTTAGGCTGGATGTCCTGCCTGTCCATGCGCAATTGTCTTTCTTTTTTTTTTATTCGAGATTAAAGAAAGAATATTTTATAGAGAAAAATCTGAAAATTCACACAATTTAGTATAGTTGGTAATCTCTATAAAATTCATTTGATGTCAAATCCGTCGTTTATTTGCCATCCCAAGACATCAGACCTTCTGAAGTCAGTTAATAAATATAGGTAGAAGAAACTTTGCTTATGAATGAACAAGTGGAACCACCTTCACAATTTTAGTTGGGTTTTCGTTCGAGCATTATACAAGGGCAGTGAAAGGCTCGGAAAAACTATTCGATATTCGAATAAAAAATACTCGGCCAAAACTACTATTCGCTTCGAACTCGAAATCCACAATTCGCACAGGACTACCAACAAATAATAATACTAGGAAAAAAAAAAACACCCTCTTTACCTCTACCAATCCTAAAAACCAACTAAAGAACAACAACATACAGTTCTGGATTTACTTTCCAAAGTGCTGTCGCGCTTCCTCCGCCTAAAAAAAAAAAAAAAGAGGAAAAACGTACACAAACATACACAATTGTTTGGAGTCCCAAAAATGGATTGTCATTGTTCTCCAGCTGCAACGATGCCTTTCTGATACAGTTGTGATTTTTTTTAACACTGTCATTCACTTCTTTGTGTATTGTTTCCGTTCCTTACCGCAAAGCAGTGCCGTTGTTACAATAATTTATGTGCTTCGTTATTTCCGGATTGGTTGCGTCAATCCTTACATTTCTCGTGTTCTGTCAATCTATCATTACCACGCCTCGAAGTTTGGCCTACATATGCAAAACCACGTGCCGTCGGAATTTCATGCACTACACTATTCTTCGAAGGGATTGATTTCTCACGGTGAGCTTTTTACACTCGTGCACTCCCGTTTCAAAAGCAGTTAGTCTACTCAGCCTGAAATCTGAAATAAAAACGATTTCCACTCTAAACTGCACAGCACAGGCCTTCAAACAATGCGAAATTACATGAAAATTCGGGATCACAGTCTTTTCCACGTGTTTTTCCTTTCTTTTTTCTCCTTTGTGTAGGAATTTAAATACATTTGGATGAACTGATTTTCTTACCCTTCCCCGCCTAGTCTCTTCTATTGACCTTGCAACGCCTTTAAGATAAAATGTAGGCACGACCGGCCTAGAGCATTCCTGATAAAAGATTTTACACCTCGCTGTTTCACTGTTTTCGGATGGCAGCTCATTTTCGACAGTACTGGTTTGTAATTTTCTTTGCCGTACTACCAGCATAGACCATCTTCGGTGTGAATGTTCAGATCCAAGTATTGTAATACTCCATTTTCAGGTTTCTCCACAGTGGAGCTCGGGATCGTTCGACATATCATCCCGGAAAGTGCACACAAAAATATCGTCCACATATCTCCGAACAATACACGTGTCCGCTTCAAACACGCGATTTCTACCAAACACAACATAAACCAACCGATTTAGATAAAACTCCGCTAAAGCCGGTGCAACCCAGGACCAAATGCACAAGCCTTCCCCTTAAGCACACTTTTTTTCTTCCTACTCCATAACTGTAGACTGAAGATGGTCATCAAGAATTCCTTTTACCCCATATAGTCGTTCATGCCCCCACATGCACTGACTGCGTTCCTTGTTTCGAGAACAAGTTTTGGGAGGACAACATAACAGATTTTGGCAGGGAAATCATTGAGTCCTTCACCATGAACACTGTTTCAATAATGCTCCCCACCTTCCCTTGTTTCCAAAGAAGATATAACCTACCTGATTCGGGAATTAGCGCAGATTACTATAACTGTTCCCCACCCCATCCAAAATTTTTGTTCTCACTGTTACCTCGCATTATCTTAGTTTCTTCTTCACAATTTTTGTCTTAACACTTTCCTTTATCTCTTTTTCTGTCTGCGTCCGCGCCCAGTCTGTTGCTTCCATGCGTACAGTACATCTCCGTTGATTGCCGCCTGTCTCCCTGGCTCTTCCCTCCCGGTGCCTCTGGTTACATCCGCCGCTGTTCGGCTCATTACGTCTTGTTCGCTTTACGTGGCGAACACGCACATACAACACTGCCACACCCTTTCTCTCCCTTTTTTTTTTTTTCCATGGCTGTTCTGGATTGGAGCGAGCGCTTTTAAGCTCATTCATGTTGTTTCTAGTTGAAGGAAATGTCGTCGTCCCCGAGTTTGTTTTATTGCTTCTGTTGCCAGACGAGAAAACTGTCTAGCGAATATGCCTGTTTGGGACTAAAACTGAACCAGATTAGATTTTAGCGCATCCTTCCCCCTTGTCATTAGTTTATTTTTCTCCAGAGAATAATATAGGTCCTTAATGTTTATCGATAGAACTAAACATTCCCTCTCGTGGTTGACTTCAGAGATTTAACTCGTTCGAATTCCTGAGAGACAACGATTTATTTAAATGCGCATACTTAAAAAAAAAAAAAGAAAGTCTATTAAGATACCTTTGTAAACATTTTGTTGACTTGTTCACCTCCGCATGTAGTACATCCGACGGATGTCTTTGAGGATACTAAACTTTTAAGACGAAATATGTCAGACCTAGGGATGTAATGTGGGAAAAGGAACGATGCTCGGAAAACTCGATACCTTTCATTTATTTTACTTCAGGCGTCTAGCGACGCATTACTTGAGGGTCAAAACAAGGGTGTGTGGTAAGTCGTATTAAATACCGTATTTTCCAGACTATAGTGCGCACGCGGCGCGTAGTGCCAAATCCGAGCGTAAAAATGATCATACACATCACACCTAGAGAAATGCCTGCTATATTAGCTCAGAAAAAAGCTTGTATCATACATAAATTACTATTAATATACTCTGTTACTCATAAAATCCTTCGCGTCTTGTCACAGTGAACGATCTAGAAAAATGCAAGACCTTGTATAGTCTGTACCTGTAGATAGTCCACACCGGGTAAAATTTCAATTTTTAAACATGTATAGTGAGCGGACTGTAGTCCGCAAAATACGGTGTATAAATACATGCGAGACATGTCATCTTGCTCAGAGAGTTGCTCCTCCCAATCAAGACCTTGAAGCCGCCGGACCGTGCAGAAGTGCTCAGGGCTCGTTCTTCTGCAGCTCGGCCCAGCTTCATGGACTGCCATGGATGAGCGCTTAACATGAGGCGCAACTCCTGGAGCTTCTGCATTCTGGTCGCCCTTCTGAACGAGCTTGGCCCGCCCGTCAATGGCTACGGCAGCTCGACCAAAACATGCTTCGAGCCCGGCAGTGAGTGGCCTCTTGTACGCTCGCTTGTTACACGGGAGTGCAAGTAACTTGGGAGCCCGAAGGTTATCGTTGCTTTCTCTTTGCGATCTCTATGCCGGAGTGGGAGTAGTCTGGCTCTTGCGCTAGCTTTTCTATACAACGCGTGCTAAGGATGCTGAAAATGACTCGGAGTAAGGACGCGTTGATCGCAGACTCCCCTTAATTCCCTTCGATATCTGATCTATCGGGAAGAACAAGTGTCTCGTATACAGAACTGACACTCTGCGCTCACACTCCTCGTGATATTTGTTTTTTATTATGTTTCTACTTTTCAATATTGTTATCCTTCGTCTAATTTATAGTAATGAGTGCTTTCTTTTCCGGTTTGAGTATTCTTTCCACCTCGCCACTGTTACATGCCAGCTACATTCAAATGTGGCTTAAATTTGAACGTATATATATGTACAGTACACTGTAGTGCCTTAAAACTGAAATATGTTGTTATAACTATAATTAACCGATCTAGAGCCTTTGAATAAATGGGCATTCAATGAATGAACGAACGCTCTGTAGGCTTGCTTTCTATTCGTTTATGCTGACCTACTAGACTACCAGTTTTACGTCTCTACCCCTGCATTGAGAAGTGAAATGGACAGAACTGCATGCTTACTCCGGTTCTCAATGCCGCGGTCTCTTTTCGAGTGGACGATGCAAGCTCTTCAGTGCTTCTGTGTGCACCTATATTTTGTGACAAAATGAAAATTACGTAGAAGCTCCGTCTCTGCACCCTGTCATTACCTTTTGTCGCTCTTTAGCTTCGTTTGCGACGAAGTGTTACCAAAGGCGGAAAGCTCTCGTTGGAATTCGCCGAATTCTTAGCTTGTCCCCGGCTATAGTGAGTGGTATCACGCATGCAGAAAACTACCCGGAGCCTGCTCCTCGGATCATGTACATCAAGGGACAGGCACGCACCATCATGGTCGAGACGACTCGTAGGCCGACGCACCGTCTCATCTCGCACATTTTCAAGATCCTGGTGACCGAATTGCTAGGCTACAAAAATGTGACTGTGCGCCTCACCAATAACTCCAACGTGATGGATGCCCTCCGGAGGATCACCAGCTGCGCATCGCCTTCGCCACAGTAAGATTGCTTTATTTAGTCACTCAGTCTACTTTAATGGCCCTATTTTAGTTGTCCACGGCCAGAATAATATAAAATTATAAAATATAACTTATAAACATGAAAATCATTAAGACTTACCTCATGGTGCAGAAACAATTTTCGTACGCAACACAATTTGTGCATGACTGGGCTCCTCGCAGGCTGCTAGTTTCTCCCCAGTGCGGCAAACTGCAAAGCCCGTGTGTTTAGAACGTCTAGGGTATGAAAGCCACCTAATGGGCTATTTCGTGCGGGTACCATTTCCTTCCTGTACCTACAACAAGTAGCAAATGAAACTGAAGTTTAACTTTTGATTTATACATCTCCGCGAATTCACCGTGACTCTGCTTCTGCCCTGTAGCGACTGCAGCCATACTGACGACCCTCAGACCATGGTTAACCTGGAATTGTGGCTCCGTCCGGGCTACAACCTCGAGCCCTGGCTGGCAACTGGGCGAATCATTGACTGTGGTCCCCTTGGCCCCATTGGGAGGCGAGTTCATGTCTGCTACTTTCTGAACAGCTATGCCCGTTGTTAGTTCTCTTATGACTTAATCCCAGTGGTAATATGGTGGTTTTTATTCGAAACGAATTTCTTAAAAGGGCGACTTCACTGCTACGTGAATGCCGTCTTCACTGTGTTTCTTGAGGTCCGCGGACAATTGAGGCGCGAACAACCGTCAGTCTAATGAGTAATTAATTAAATTTCGTTAATTAACCTTTTAATTAGTGAGTCTATGCATGCGGTTTCAATTCGAAACTTGTTGAGCGTCATTGAAGACCACTAAATTGGTAATTTTCAGGCAGACTGAGCACGTGAGAAGCGCAGTAGTCCGCTAAAGTTACAATTCGTGGTGCCGGTACAAGGCTGGGGCTCTCATAAGAAACTGAAGAACCGCGCGGGCGCGGGCAACCGCTAGCCTTGTACCTGCAGCTCAACGAGTGGTAACTTTAGCGCACTACTATGCTTCTCACTGGCTCAATTTCTGAAAATTACTGATTTAGTGATATTCAATGACGCTCAGCAAGTTTCTAATTGGAACCATATGTCTATTTCTACTACTTAAAAAGTTAATTAGTCATTTTCAATTAATTACCGAAGTAATTAGGAAGTATCGCAGTTTCTGACGTCCGCCACCACGAGTAATGCGGTCCCGAGAAAATTGTCTTTTCACCTGGAATACACTAATTGTAGGATTTATTGTCACTCTAACCTGAAGCACCTTGTATATGTTTGTATCGCTCGCCACAAACAGGGACCGCTTGTTGCACGCTGAATGAAGACTTTCTCCTATCGTTGTTTTTTTCTTAGACTTAGATTCTTAATTCTTCCGCGTTCTCCTTAATGCCTGGGTGATTTATCACCATAGGTCTATTGGTTGCTAGCGTCGCTGTAGTCGACCTTTCACGATTGGCCAAACGCTCAATATTTGGTCTCGAGTATGATGAATTCTATTAATGAAAATGCTCAAATGTCAGACTGCAAAATTTGACGGTGTTGGTTTAAGGACGCGATGACTACGAGCCTCCACCGCGCTTTTCACGCAAACTATTGAAATTGTCCCTGGCAATCAGTCATTCTGGTCGTGACGTCACAGATAGGAACCATGAGTGGGAGCTACCTCAACATATCGTCGCTAATCCTCGAAGCATGGGTAGGCGTCCCCAAGTCCCTTGATACTTTTACAAGTCGCGGCAACCAATACAAATGACACGGCACATTCCGCCGGAACAAAATGGCGGCATTCAGTTCAGGCCTCTGCCGTGCGCCGCCATTCGCTTCCTAAACCTGCACCAACGTTACTAGAACACTCAGTTGGGAAACTCGCCGTCGAAACTTGGGCCGCTGGCCTCCACCGAGACCGAGCTAAATACGACAACAGCGCCACTCTTTATCATTTGTCTGTACTGTGGTCACATTGAGCTTTTAGAATGCATGTTTTTGCGTAAAAACAAACGGAAAAGACTCTTTTTGTATAAAATTTATTAGAATTTAGTACCAAATGATGGGCGCGTGATGTTTTTAAAATCTTTGGGTTGCAGGGTTTTGCGGAACCATTAATATTGTTTTTATACAACCATGCCTCAGCGGTGCTTTCAGGTAGCGCGTCCCGACCTAGGTGCATTTCGACTTGGGTAGTAAGTCGCGGCGCGTCCGCTGGGGAGACGGGGGTGGCACCCCTGTAACCTCTTCCGCCGTATCTGTTTCGGCTCCGAAATGGCCGATTAAAGCCAAAATAGACTTAATGTACAGTTCCTCAAGTGGCCGCTGCGGGAGAAATGGCGGCGTTGTGTTCGTCATTAGCTCGGTTCTCGAGGACAGATCGGGGCCACTTTTTCAGATAAGTCTCTATGGCAGTTTCCCAACTGAGTGTTTTAGTAACGTTGACCTGCACCGTCACGCAGTCGGAGCCTCAAAGAATGTCGCTACTTGTAGGAAGCTCTTATCTAGGCACTTTAGGCGTCCCCGTAACTCGCGGTTCTCTTATTTACTCAAACTCGTTGAAAAGCTATCGTTGGTATGGGCCCAGTACTTACTGGCGAAAATAACAAATGAAAAAATAAAATTATTAAGGTTGTCCGCAAAAAAAAAAAAAAAAAAAAAAGTTTTTTCCGCAAAAAACGGTATTGTGCAGGTCTGGCTGGTTCGTGCCGTTGTCGACTGTCGAGAGATTCTGGCAGCACCACGGCATGGTGCTGGATCACTGGAGGTCCTTTCGGTCTCCCAACGTGACCGTGCTGATGAACAGACTACATGACAAGCTTCTGCACGAATACACTAGGACGCCAGACAAGACTGGATTCTTGTGTAATGCGTCTCTGTGTGTCAACGGCATCTACGAGCCTCCCATCTGCCGCAAACACAAGAGAAAAATGCCCTGTGCCACGCTCATCGCCGACTACCCAGGTGGGTGAGCCTTCTGGGCGTTCCCGGCTGATACACTTCGGTCCAGGTGCATCGGTAGTGGATCCTCGACATGCCTCAAGCGACAACCGCACCGAAGCTCTAACAAAGTGTTCCGGAAAACGGCAGACGAGTGGCGTCCCCACGTGCTAGCGTCGTGCTCTTTGTGCCACTCTTCGTGGCGCGAATGAGGCGATGCTTACTGCTTCTTTAATTACTGGTTTTTGGGGAAAGATGCAGACCTTGTGTTTCAGTTGGTATTGGTTGTGCCACCCCGAGACACTTCTCGCTTAGAGTTAACGGCACTTACGAGTGTATCGTGATCATGCATCTCTGACGTGAAACTTTTTAGCTGCGACATTCATCTTCTTTTGGCGCTCTTAGTGGAAAGGGTTGTTTGTGTTGTGTCAGGCTAGAATACGACAGTGCAGAGCAACGTTGATGCAGACGAGCTGGAAAACATTGAACGTGATGAGAGAGCTCCGAGACGGGGAAACCTCGAGCACAGCCGACGCATTTACAAGACACTACTGCAGCTGAGTCTGATCGTTTAGATCATGGTTCAGTTCCGGTCTTATTACAAACAAAAAGTAGGATGAGAGTATATTGACTATTCCTTTTTCACGGGTCCTCAATCACTTAGTCCGTGACATGATGCATGCGCTTCTGAACAACGCATCGCGTCCCAAAGTCTTGCTTGCGACGTCTGACTTTACTGAACTGAACTAATACCCGTGTAAGGGGTTCGCTGGCAATACTGCTCAATGACCATTCCAAAAATGTAATGGTATAGGTAGTGAATGCCACCAATACAGAAAGCGATATCACGTGACAGCTTCAAGTTGAACAGCCTTGGAACGCGCAATGGGTGCCTGAATTAACGTTGCGGTCCCAGGGCACTCGTTTGGTATTAACGGGTTCTTGGTATTTTCAGCAAGAAAAAAAAAAATAGCTACAAATGTGTCCCCCTGCCAATGTTTAAGTAGGTTAAATATACAAAAAAGGTTTTGTGCTGACTAGATGTAATATTGAAACAAATAACGAGACGTTTGAAAATTACCATTGCCTTCGTGAAACACTTGACCTGGCGGCGCACACTACGTTGCCTCGTCTGTTTTGTAAATGTATTGCTTCCTTTCATAGTGTACATACACAGTTTTGTGTAAGACATTTCCTCTTTCACCAAACTGCTGCAGATTAGTTTCTTTTGAAAACGTACGGAAAATCTACGCATAAAGAACAAGGCTCGACATGTCGTAGTGACGTATCATCAAGTAGTTCGTAAAAGTAGTAAACGTCAGATGACTAAAAAAGAAAAGAAAGAAACGAGCGAATACAGTAATTTATTGTTTCTTTTTTATAATTTAATATTCGTTCTATACAGGAGAGTTTTTTTTCTTGATAGTGACGGATTTATGATGACCAGAGAAGTCTAAATCATGACTTCAATTCATTTACTTGAAGGAACAAAAATTGCACATTTCGCGCGACCTAAAATGCGCATAGGAGCGGCTCGGTATAGTCATACGGCCGGACGTTTTGCTGTGGATATTTTCAATAAGTTAATACCAATAATGAATGATGATAATATAACAATAGTTTTCTTCATCGTGTCAGCATGTTTAGAGCTGGGAGAAAAAGCTGCCCGAGCAGTTTCACTGTGCCTATCCATCTTACAGTTTCGCAGCTGTTGCGTGAAAAAATAAGGGAACACTAGAAATTGTTGGAGGTTTTTTTTTTATGAGCAAGTTACCCCTCAATCGTACAAAGCACAGCTGTGAAATTTGCTTACTCATCGCATACAGCAAGTACTTTCCTGAATCTGAACGCAAAAAAGAGTGCTCCACAGTTGTATGCGAGTTTTCCTGTGACACATTTCAGTACACAATCCAAGTAGCGCGAGCTAAACTCGTGACCCGTGCCTGGGTATTGCATTGTATCTCAACATCCGAGTGAGGTTGTGCTAGTGGCGAAATGTAGCGGCTCGTACCTCCCTGCCGTTCTTATCTCATCAGTGACTATGGTTTACGGGCATGACAATTCGTTGTGGGTCGTCAAGAGAAATAGGCTCCGAGCTCAGGAAAGACACGTCAACCTCCGAGATTCCATGCAGAACTTGTTCTTTTTCTTTTATTTCTTTTCCTCACGCTCGCACGCGCGGCACCAGAGCTCGTACGAGTTACGGGTTTTTTGGGGGCTCGTCACAACACGGGGCATGTGAACCTGTAAAATTTAATGTTGCCTTCTTTGAGCTTTCTTCGCCTATACTTCAATAAACGGGAATTTCGGCTGAATCGGCGTTGCATGTCTCTTGACGTGTTACCCACGCGACCGTGTTTGCGCAGAGAGCACGTACAACATGCTCACCACCGAGATCGAGTCCCTGAGGCTACGCGTCAACGTGGCCTGGGTGGGCAAGAGGCTCGAGGAGTACGTGACGTCGGCGCTGGCCCGGAACGAGTCCATCATCTTCCACAACTGGAAGCCCAACACGCTCACGACCTTGAGCAACGTCGTTCACATCGCGTTCCCCCAGTGCGAGGACAGGGCGCTGCAGGACTTTCAAGACAACCCGGAAAACGCCAAGTGCGAGTTCGAGGTCAATCACATGGAGAAGGCGAGTACCAGAGACCTGCGTATAAAGTCCTTACCCAGGGCGTACACTAGCTGAGCGGGCTCTGTCGAAAAACTTTGAATCAGTTTATGAAAAAGTGGCAGCGGGAAAAGGAAAAACCAACATTGCAGGCGTTATCCTCGTGGTCGCACAATTTCGAAGAACCGTAGTAATGTTCTCGCGTTGTTACACCTCCAAAGTAACTGAATGGTTAGTTAGTGCGGTGTTTGGGTAGCTCTTTAGTTGAACTTTCAAGGCGATGAAAAAGCCTGAACGTCGGTTAGTTACCCCTTTTTGTTTCAGCAAATCAGGGAAGCCCCAGAACACAGCCTTCGGACGGGCCGGCTGTGTGCCTTCCATGTCTGCTCCACATTGCCCCGTATACTACCAAAATCCTGTAGATGGGCCACCGCTTCGACAACTCCAAGACCATTCATTGCCCTTACTCGCAGGTGGTGTGGTCCAAGCTGAAGGACAGTGTTCCTGACGTGTACGACATCGCCCAAAAGATATCCTTCAAGCAGGAACAATACGAGCAGATGCTGGACTTGTACAAGCGCGAGTCGACCCGCGATCGAGACTACAGCGACATCGCCTGCACCTTCCTGACCCAGAACGAACACCTGCTCCACGAATTCGTCACAGGCGATCTTGGGGACAAGCCCGAGCTCTACATCGGGGGAATCTTTCCTGTTTCTGGCATATACAAGCGCATGAGCGGAGTGCTCACCGGTTAGTGCCTCTCTTGTATGACCTTCTCGCATGCGGAATGGTAGCCCAGGGCTTCGCGAAACCTCGTTGAATGCACTTCTTGTGACTGGGAGGTAGTCTTGTTTATGCGCAGCCTACGGTCGAGCTACGAGACCGGGGAAGGGAGAGGGAAGGGGGAGGGGGGGGGGGGGGTTCACGGCGGGTTACCGCCCCGGTGCCGCTGACCCCAGTGACGCCACTGTCGACGAGCATTCCGGTAGTGGCCCTTGTCCAATCGCTGCAGTGACAATAGCCGAACAATAACAAGATCTGGAACTCGGCGCGTGTCCTGTGCTTCGCCAACCCCAGCTTCTGGCTATGATCAACATTGGCAAAATATGATCGGTTCCAGATCACGTGGCCGCTTAATCTGGCTGCGAGTTCGGGGGTAATCTGCTCGCTTTTATTTAATTTTTGCTAAGACTTCTATTTCGTTTGATGAAAAACCAACGCGTGTTTTATACGTCGTTAACGTCATGGATTCGTTCTAAGCGCTACTTGCGGCAAGTAAAAAATATCGTTGCATCGCCCTTTTAGGGCAGACTTGTGCCTATCTCAAATACTCTACTCAAAATACTGTATCTTAAATACTTTTTGGTGTATCTTGGTATCTTTCAAATACCTTTGATGGAGAGTATTTAATACTCTATTTTAATTACAATTCCGAGTATCTTGTACTCATTATCGTATATACATTTTTGATATTCCGCCATTTTCCGAGTTTTTCGGTATGAAGTGGGGTGGGCGTGGCACGGGCAAACGTGAACATTCTTTCGAGCAACTGAATTCTGTTGCTAGCTCCGATTAGGCTTGTTGCCAGATGGCCCAGCAAAAAACCGCCAAATGGCTGGCAAGTATAGCCCAAATATAGCCAAAGCCGTAAAAAAATATAGCTGAAATAGCCAAGACTAAAAACAATTATTTTTAAGACCTTTATTCACTATTTTTTACACACATACAAAACACGTTGCATTCACTTTTTCAACCTTCACATGCGCCACATTTCGTGTACATTGTGTCACTTGTGAATTTTTCAAAAATATGTTTCGGAAAGATGAATATCCGTGCAGCAATGACCCTTCCTTCGTAGGTTTTCAGAAATACAAGACATACAAAGACAGCTTTATTGTGAAGCCCGGGAGATATTATCAAACAGGTAAAGAACAAAATATAGAAGCAGAACAGTAAGAACGCTGGGAGTTTCAAACCAGAACCCCAATATCTATGGTCCTCACCAATATCGCACCCGTCTCTTTTCTTTGTGTAGAATATGAGTGTCCCCCATTCCGGTTCACTGTCCTTTCTTGGGGTGGGCGCGACAACTGGAAGGTAGTCAATTGTTTAGCGGTGAAGCTGCGGACTTCTCATTTTTAGGAACTTAGGTGCCTAAGGATTCTCACATTGGGCACCAAAGCAGCGTTCGGACAGTTCAGTCTAGGTTCGGGTAAAAGACGCGCTACCGGGTCTGTGGTAATAGTGCAATCCGTTTGGGTTGCTCCACTGCGCTGTGGGGAGACCGCTTGAACTCTGCAAGCATTGCTTCTCTGCGCATTGTGAAAACCCCGAAGTTCTCCTTCCTCTCCCTTCTCTCAGCTGGACAAAAGCGAAACAATTTTCTTTGAGGTTCGACTAGTTAATTTTCGAACTTCTTATCGGCTTCGAAGTTCGACGTCGAACCTGAAGTTTCCACAAAAGTTTGCAGAATCTTTAGAAATAGCCCAAAAATAGCAACATAGCCAACAACGAAATTTTGACGCCAACTAGAAAAAAATGTAGCCCAATTTGGCTATATATAGCCCAATCTGGCAAGACTGCGATTAGCTACGGTCACTTTAACTGAGCTCGTGAAAATATCGCTTTTTTGCCTACTGTGACTTATATTTCAGCCCTAAGTTTGTACAATGAAGGTTCTCCCCTCGCCTTCCCAAAGGCGCCCTTTGTTTCTATAAAGTTTCTCCCCCAAAGATCCTCAAATCAAAGGTGTGGTTTTACGGAAGTAAAGATGCCACCCTGAGGCGCAACGCAGACCGGGGAACGACCTACGAGAACAATGCAGATTTAAGTGTCCAGAAATAACAAATAGAAGAAAATGAAAAGTGGACACACACAAAAAAGGAGACATTTTTGTTTTGCTTTTTGTATATTTGACCCCCCTAGGGCAAAACGTCGAGGTCTTTTTTTTTTTCTTTGTGTTGTCAATCCGGCACTTCTTGCTCTCGCGAACACTGTCTGTAAGCGAACATTTATGAGCAGAGAACAGTACAGGAAACGAACTACGAGCTGAATGACCTCTCAAAATGCAACGAAGTGTCCCCCAACGTTGAGTGCTTTTCTGAACGCAACATACTTGAAGGTGCGACCACTGCCGTGACTATTATGTGTGTTCTCTTTGTTATCCATTCACTCATATCTGTGTCCCAAGTTCGTTTATAGTGAACTCCCCGTATAGGGAATAGGGATTGTAGTTAAACGATGCACCTAACTTAAGGTGCGCCGCACGATGTGATATTCAGCGATGTCACTATTGGCGAAGCGCTCTGACCCGTTTGTTACCCCCACACCTCGGCGTTTACCCAACACAAGGCACATGCCCACAGGCCTTGTGGGCATGTTTGTGTCATCTTTTTTAATTCGCAACTTTCAGCGATGGTGGTACCGCGGTGTGAGAATCGCGCTCCCTAGCTCCTGGATGATCGGCCTCATAATAAATGGACTTGCCAACACCTTCGAGGCGTGAAAAAATAACGTAAGGTTCCAATACTGCGCGTATGTAGCAAAACTAGAATTACTTCGCGTCGCAGACCCCACCTCGTACCGCTGTTTTACAACGATCATCCAGATGACAGCCATTTTGATAGGCACCAGTGCGCCCCCTATAGGTCGTGGAAGTTGCGAATAGAGCGCGGGGCATAGCGTAATGAAAAAATACCAACAATTAGTGGAGTGAGGGTAAGTGCCGGATCTTTCCCGAAAGCAGTCGTCAGAGGATGCGAACTTGACCCACTTGGGCTTTTGTGCTGAGCTGGGCACCGTGCATGCTGCATTGTTCATGCAGGCCGGAGTGGTAACAAAAGAGCCCCTCCTCCCCCTCACCGAAGAACGCGAACTCCAGCCGAACGCTGATGCCGCGTTCGGTTAAGTCGGCCGAGCGCTGAGCCATTGTATTTGTTATTCCCATCCATCTAGTTCTAAAGTTAACCGCTTGGGGCACCACGGTCTGATCTCCTCCCCAATAACTAAACCTACCTCTTTCTTGTTGTCCGAGAAATGTTTTGTAACATCTATCAGCGATATTGCCACGCGCGTTGCCCAGCGAGCGCGTGGCCGAATAGTTACCGCGCTTGGCTCTCGCGTGGGGGCTTCGGGTTCGATACCAGGAGCGGACTTCTCCTTTATTTATTCTTTCAACTTGACATTCTCGTAAGTTCGAGAACCTTGTCGTTTGATCGAGTTACGAATGTTCTACGCGCCGAACGTTCTACGCCGAATCTTTAGAAACCCACGCGGGTACAAAAGGTGCTCCGAGTGGCGGTCCGGAGTCAGTCTCGTCCCAGCGCTCGATCCTGCTGTTTCGCCGACATCGACGCCTGCGACGCTAGCCTTTCTCTCTTTTGTTTTAGGAACAAGTTCGCCCCATTAAACGTTTAGTTTCTTCAGTTATTCGCCGCCTCACCATTTATCATTCGTGGCAAAATCTTGCTCTTTATAGTCGGACTGTATAAAATAGCCCTACAATACTTTTTTTTTTTTCGTTTTGTGTTGTTGCGTGCTAATAAACCATTCTGGTGACCCAGACTTGCGTAGCTGCAGAATTGTCGTTGTCAATGACGTCGATACAAATTAAGCAATGCGGAAGTATCTTCAAAAGTAACTGAATTACATTTCTAAGTAGTTGTACTCTACTCAAGGTACTTTGCAGTGAAAGTAACTTGAGTAGTATTTTAATCACTTTATGACGCATGTATTTAGTAACTTAAGTACTTTTATCGAATATTTTGTCCAACAATGCTTTAACCTCTTAAGTCTCTTAAGTGCCGACCATCCCATACTACCATCTTCTGATTTTTTGCCCATGTTACCAATTGTGTTTGATCCACGCGGTATTGTTAAAATTATTGAAAACCTCAAGCTGTCGTCGGCATCAGGCGTCGACGAGATAAACGCGAAATTTCTAAAGAATACCAAAATATACTCATCGATCATCTTGTCATCTTTGTTTCAACAATCACTTGATCATGGCGTCTTACCTGAGGACTGGAAAGCAGGGAAGGTTGTTCCAATTTACAAAGCTGGTGACCGTTTCTCCCCTTTAAATTACAGGCCAATATCTCTTACTAGCGTACCCTGCAAAATTGTGGAGCACATAATTTGTTCACAGCTCTCGCGTTTCCTGGAGTACAACTCATTCTTTAGCCCTTTTTAACATGGATTCCGCAAATCTTTCTCATGTGATACTCAGCTCTTGGTTTTCACCCACAACCTCCACTCGGCTCTGGACCGTGGATCTCAGACTGACTGCATCTTTCTGGACTTTGCAAAGGCTTTCGATAAGGTAACGCATAAACTACTACTATACAAACTTAGCCTCAGTATTGATCCATATATCTTATCTTGGTTAGAGTGTTTCCTCACTAACAGATCGCAATTTCTAACTGTCAATAACAAAAACTCGTCATCGGCCCTCGTTGAGTCCGGCGTACCACAAGGTTCTGTCCTAAGCCCCCTCTTATTCTTAATATATATAAATGACCTACCTACTAGAATTTCCTCCTCCATAAGCGTATTTGCGGATGATTGCGTTGTTTACCGTGAAATTACTAATGACTGTGGCGTTCACATAGTTCAATCTGATTTAAATGCAATTTCTTCCTGGTGCCATGCTTGGCACATGAAACTAAACATGATGAAATGTAAGACAATGAGGATTTCCCGCAAAGCAGCACTCTGTCCTAACTACTTCCTATCGAATAACCTCCTTGAAAACGTATCAACTTACAAAAATCTAGGTGTTCATATCTGTTCTGACCTATCATGGAAAACTCACACCGAATATATCGTTTATAACAGTAACCGCATGCTTGGATATTTAAGACGTAACTTTTCTCTAGCTCCATCATCATTAAAATTACTACTTTATAAAACACTGGTGCGACCAAAGCTTGAATATGCATGCTCGGTCTGGGATCCCGGTGCAGAAAGCCTCATATCAGCGCTTGAAGCCATCCAAAACCGGTCAGCACGTTTTATATTATCAAACTACCATCGTACATCAAGCGTCACATCCATGAAAGCTAGTCTCTCTCTGCCCCTTCTTTCCACTCGTCGCACTATCTCCCGTCTCTGTTTATTTCATAAAATTTACTATGCCAATTCACTCTTGAAAGAGCAACTAATCAGTGACCCCATCTACGTATCATCTCGCCTCGATCACTGCTGCAAAGTTGGTATACCCACTTCCATATAATAGAATAGTTTATTTCAGACATACGTGTGTGATACATATGTCTGAGAGGCTGCAGCAAAAGAAGGCAAAAAAGCCCTCTGACGAGGCCGCTAGCAATAATTACAATAATTTAGCAACAAGATTGAATTAAACATAGGCATGAGTAAACCCCATTCCAATCAATATCATCAATATAAACATAAGCTATGCGTCATAATAAGAATAAAAAAGAAACGAACTAATAAAAAAAATCATGAAACAAAAACCAGAGAAAACTGGTTTTGTTTCAAATTTTTTCTTTCGGATCTTTCATCCCAAAAAACATTTCGCGATAATGCAGCTCTCGTTCAGCTCCAACACAAGAAACATGAAACGGAAACCTGAGCATGGACTTCGTGTTTCTCCATCGTCGTGTAAGCCTAAAAAGCGACGCAAATACCCTGAACGTTTCGTTCAGACCTGGGAAGCTAGACGCGTTTTAGTTCACGCGAGCCACGGGGACTTTGATCTTCCGACGAAGCGAAATCGCGCGGTTGTCGGACCCTTGAGAGTTCGACGCTCCACGGAGGTGGCCTTGGCTACTCCGTGCGAGTGTCTCAATTTGTAGCACGCTCCCCGGGAAGCTGCAAGGAACGTGCGCTGGAGAAAATATTTTTGCGGTCATGCTCCCATTTGTTGAGTCTAGCCCTCTGACATGTTCTGGCTCGAATCTCGCCTTTCCCGATTGGCGCCACAGCGCAATGCGCGTTGCTCTTTCTCGCACGTGTTACTTCTCTCCTATACATATTGTAGTAATATTTATCTACAAAAGAAATGTATATACACCGAACAGGATGTGCAATCCGCCTTTTTTTAAATGATGGTTCCAGAGGTTCTGAAGTGAAAACGGTTCGTGTTCCATGAACTCTCCCGTGCAACCTTAACAATTTTCCAAGCTTGCGAGAGGCCCGTGCATTATGGAAGCTTGGGAATGTTCGCGTTCTCAAAACGGCAACGTCAATCTTGACAGTCTGACATTTCTCTTAAATTTTCTACGTCACCTAAACAAGGCCGGTGCAGGGCACGGATGGGGGTACCAGTCGAACAATGACGCAGCACTTTTGTCCAATCAAAGCTCCGCGCTGACCCGTGGTAGGGGATGGAGAGTTCAACCCTACGAACTTGTTCTGGAGTTTTTGTTATAAAACCAGGATTCATATCCGGCACAAAACTTTAACCGAATGTTCACCATCTTGTTGCCTTCAGCGGCTCGCATGGCCACGGATGCCATCAACCGTTCCCCTCGCATCCTAAGCGGTTTCCGGCTCGTCATCTTGGAGCAAGACGGCCAGTGCGCTCAGGATGTCGTCATGAAGCGCTACATCGGCTACGTCACCAACAGCGCCTACAAAAGCCTCGTCGGCATCCTCGGTGAGTAGGAGGGCATCCCGTTTACGCTTCATCAAATTCCATTAAACTCTAAACGGCAGCTTCCCTTTTTACAACGTAAATATTTCTGAAGCCATGCTTGATCTGTGTACCTCTTACTGCTCCTTCCCCCGCTATATTTCGGGTGGATATCTGAACGAATCGTTCAGTTAGCTTGCAATATGAAGGGCTGTCAGAATGGAACACTTCAGCAATTGTGAGGCGACACGCTTCCGTCTTATGAACTGGAAGTTGAAGTCCGGCAGTCCGTTTTCTGTTTGGCCACCACCAGGCAAAGATCATGACATTCTTCCTTGCCTCCTCCGCTTTTCGCTGACCTCGGTGCTCGTCAGAATTGACGTCGCACGCCACCTGCCAATAGTGTACCTCTTGCCTGTCCATCTCTTCTGCCGCACCCTCGTATGCTTCCCTCTCCCGTTTTCGGGACTTGAACAGCAGCGGAGGCCTTGAGCGTTTGACCGACAGCTGGCAGAGCGTGTGAGTGGCTGTCCGGACCCACGTGATGAACATGCTCAAGGCCCCCGTGAAGAACAGAAGTTAACCTCGAGAAAAAGAAAACATTCCCCCCGGCGAAAAAAAAAAAAAAAAAAGGGATAGAAGCGGATTGGCTGCACAACATATGACGGAGTTGTGTCCACTCACGGTGTCTGAAGTAGTCTGTTTGGACACACCTTCAGGTGCATGTAGTCAGATTGGAACATTTCGGTTCAGCACTGAACTAACAAATATATTTTTGTAAGCGTCCACATAGTATTGTAGGCTGCATATTACATTGGGCTCCACATTAGACCAATTAACATGTCAATACCCATCTCGTACGCCGCTTAATGCCATTAGAATTCTCAGTCGGTGCACGGCCCTAACCATCAGTGCTGTTGGCGGTTACACCAAATATATTACCAGGGACTACATCGTGCTCCGCGAAAATCCATTGCCCTTGGAACCGGCAGCTTTTGCGTAGTTGGAACGGCTGGACGCGTACAGCCTCGGGGGTTTCCCCTTTGATTTAGGGGGTTTGGCTGCCGCCATCTATCGTCGTGGACAGCCCTGTAGACAGCGGAGATGGTAGTCTCCGCTGTCTTGGCGAATCCGTTATCTCGGTATGTCTGCGGCAGCAACTCTTCCTCGGCACAGCACGAAAGCGTGGCCATCGAGATGCGCCTGCGTTCTCTCGGACGCGGACTGTCTATACTACTCGGGGAGGACTTGGGAGTACAATGTATTTTTCTAGTAAAGTAGGTGATTACACGTTGTAATGGCCTAGACAAATAGATCTCTGGCTCTTTGTGTATAGTGACTGTGTTTGTACTGAGGCCTCGTCAAGCTGTACTTCGTAACATCTTTTTGTACCGCTACAAGCTTTTATATTGCAAGAAAAAAAAATAAATTTACATTAAATGCTTACCGATGACTGGTCACATTGGCAGGACCTGCCTGCACGGATACGCTGGAACCAATCGTGGGTGTGGCCAAGCACTACAACACGGCCATTATCAGTTACAGCGCTGAGGGGGCACTCTTCTCGAAGCGCGAGAAGTACCCTTATTTCTTTCGGACCGTACCTGAAAACCACATGTACAGGTAAGCTGTCTATAGACCATTTCGATTGGGCGGATTGGATGTTTTGTCAGATATTACGTGAGTTTAATCGCAGTCGCATATGCGCTCGTACTGCGTCTGATTATTTTTTTTTATACCAGAGTACTGTTCCCTGGACAACTCGCGGGCTACGAACCTCTGTTAGAACACCGCGTTAAGTTCCTTTGTCTGCGCGAGCGCTTGGTCATGCACTTCCTAAACGATCGCACCCGTTCACCTACCACAACGCTGTACATAACCGTCTTTAGAAGGGGCAATTTCCTGTCATACACGCATTTCAATTGTTTCTTAGCTAAATCTGAGAACGGGCAAACCAGCTCGTACCTTCGTGCAATGTGAAACATTGGGCCATTTGATAGGCCATTTGAAACGGCCGCATGACGGGGGTCTAAAGGCCTCTACCCTAAGCGCCTTTGACCTATCTGTCATTCAGGAGTACTGGATCGTGGTCGAAATGCAACAGCGAGGCTCAGGTTATAGGCCGTGCGGCTGCGGGAAGTAGGAGCGGTGACCGACCCCCTCCGTCTGCAGGTACTTGTACTTGAAGCTACTGGACGCGATGAACTGGCGTCGCGTGGCTGCCCTGACCGACGACGGACACAAGTACAGCGAGTACCTGAACCTGCTGCACGACGACATGCAGAAGCGCGGGCTCACGTTCATCACCAACCGCAAGGTTCCGCACGACCACAGCACTCACAACGCGACCCAACACCGGACGCACTTCATGTCGCAGTACCTGGCCGACTTGAAGGCCCGCAACGCGCGCATCATCATCGGGGGCTTTGACGAGGACGCCGCAAGGGCCATCATGTGCGAGGCCTACAAGCAGGTGGGCACTGCCTCGGAGCGCCCGCGCCCGCGGCTGTGCACAGCTTCTGAAAGGGTCCGCTGCCCGTCGAATCGTTCGAAAAAGCAACCCTTGCAGCAAGTGTTTGCTCCCGTCTCAAAGCGAAGGACTCTGCTTTTGGGAGAGACCTTCGTTTTGTGAGCTTTTAAGTTTTACCATGTCGCGTTTTTAGTGGTACTATCCTGATTTCAGGTGCAGTGTTACTTTACTGGACCTGGAATTAAGACAGGAAGTTGGGTTTTAATTCAGTTTACATCGGTTTTTAATATTAGACTTGTTATCACAGTTGTTTTATGGACGTCTAGACCGCGGGTACTTGGTCGAACAACTGTAGATGAAAAATTTAGCCAGTACAGTACGTCTGCCTGGACGTACTGGACGTACTGGCAATTTAGCCAGTCTGACAAGCCTGGAGCGAAACACGAAATAATTATATAATCAAATTTGTGGCTTGTATTATTTTTGATGAACTGAAGGAGGCGAATTTAGATGCGCGAGCTTTCGCATTCCATGAAGCAAATATACTTATTCGTAAAGCATTCAAAATTGGGTACACAATTTCATTAATTGCCACGCTGTATTATTACGCTCACGGACGGGGCCTGAACTGGGCCTGCGCACTATTCAATTGCAGGCCATGTTACGTAGTGAAAAGGTAGGCACGTAGCAGATAGTGGAAGGGTAGAATGCCAGGGCGCAAACGTACTGTAAGAGTTTAATCACGTCGAACGAAACACCAAGACTGACGGAAGATAGGACGCAACAGACACTCAGGTTCAGGCCCGGGTCCACAAATATCCAGTAGTGAGAGTCATGTCATGTACAGAAATACGGAAGGAAATTGTGATGAAGCACCGAGTATTGGTTTTCCACGTCTGCTTTTGTACGAGATTTCAAAATAAACGGACCCTCTAGTTACTTAATATTGGTCTGTATATTTTGTTTTTTCTTATTGGTTTGCGAAACCATATTGTCTATTGAACGCGACAGTCCTCAAGATGCCGTCGTTGCTACTGTCTGAAAGAACCTACTATCATGTGGTAAGTTTGTTCTTTATCATAGTGTTCTCGAAATAGAAAAGGGCAGCGGATAGCGGTCTGTTAACGATTATGATCAAATAACGGGGGCAGTTGTTTTGGGCGCTCGCCGTGAGAATTTTGGTGAAGGGAGGACAACATCTGTGCCCTATTTACCCTAAACGCACTTGGATAACAATCGACAAAACCCGAGTTTGTCTCGTGTTTCAAGTGTTGGCTCTTAAATGTCTTTAAACGCTAGCGAACTCCACTCGTACGCGCCACGCCGAATATGGAACTGGAACAAGCGGGATGCCCTTCTGACCCAGGGCATGACTGGTGCGCACGGTTACCAGTGGTTCCTGCCCACGTGGTTGGCACAGCAGAAATACCGGGACCGACAGTGGTACAACACCGAGCACTACAATAAGTACCACAATGAGAGCGTCAACTGTACCGTGCGCCAAATGAGAAAAGCCCTCGAGGGCTACATGAGCCTGCACCCCAAGTGGTACGCCGACGACAACGCCATAATGCAAGAGAACCGGACCGTCGGCGACTGGAAAACGCTCTACAAGCAAGTTGCTACTGCTCAGGTCTGCGGTTCAATTGTGCACTTCATTTTTAGAGTGCAGTGAAAATTCTGCTGCACTCTTCGACGCTGATTGTGTAAATGTTTGCAAGGCGTGGACCTTTTAGGTATACAACATGGGAGAAAAGCTTCTAGGCTACGTTTATTGCCGTTTTTAAACAGGAGTCCTTTAAAACGGTTTCTAGGAATATCTCGAGGATTAGTGGATTAGTACTGTATATTCTATAACACCCACAATGTCAGGAGTCACGAAATTGTTCAGATGTTAAAGCGTGCTGATTCTCAACACAAATGACGAGTCCTGAAGTTTCAGCCACTGTAAATGTACCAAACCAGCTAAAATCACAAAAAAAAAACAACAACAAACAAACAAGAAAAAAAAAAGCTATGCGATACAGGTGTGTTAAATTGATGCTCTTGAGCTAGTAGTTGTTGCAGATAGGATGACACGTTTTATTGTTTGTAACAAAAAGTACCAATGCGCAGGTTATGGCGACAAATAGATTCTCCAGTAGTACTACCACCGAGTTCGCCGTTTGGCATGGCGACTATACAACTTGCTCTAAAACATGCGAACCACTCGCACGAGGCTATTGCAGGCCCTAATTTATGCCGCTTGTTGTGGACACACGAAAGTGACAAGCAGTTCGTGTTCAAAATGATCAATGTTCCTCCTAAATGCGTTCTTCCTCTAGGTTGACGGCGCCTTCCTATCGACCATTTACGATCCCCGTTCATTGAAGGGAGACCTATCTTCAGAGGATTTATTATAACGTGAATAAGATGTTGTACTTCGTTATTTTCTCTACACGATCACTTCGCTTGCCGAAGTAGTTAAGTCATTTCTAGCAGTGAAACTATCATACTTAAACCCATCAACGAGGAAAGTCTGGAAGGAATAATACAAGCATTTTGGAGACTACGCCGTGGGTGTCAATATTTTCTGTTATCTCGTCTCGGTATTTACGTGCAACCATTTACTACGCTGCATTTCCCACCTGTAGGGCAAGGAAGACAGTGAATACGGCGGCTATGCGTACGACGCCGTCTGGGTCTTCGCCTTGGCACTAGAAGCTCTCTTCCAAAGAAATCACAGTCACACCTCCACGCTGCACGACGATCGAACTTTTCAGTAAGTTTTAGAACGAAGCGTGGCACTTGCCGCCGTTGCAATCGTCACAAGAACGCCACTTCTTAAATTAATAGCGGCTTTTGTTTTCTTCCAGGGAGCTGATATCACTCATCAACGAGACGAACTTCAATGGTGTCTCCGGTCATGTGCGCTTCTACAAATCCAGCCGTCTCACGGACGTCCTCATCAAACAGTGGGTGAACGGCACCCAAGTTCACGTGGGTACTTATAACCCGAGTTATGGAGATGACAGCGATAAGCTCCTGCTGGGCCCTCAAGGTCCCATGAAACCAATTTTCTGGCCCTCCGGCAGCAACCCAGGTGACGGAAGCGAAGGTGCGTGATCCGCCTGTCCAGCCTTAGTTGTCGGCTCACTGTTCGTCCGCCGATTCCAGACCCGTCCACTTGTCCCCTGGAGGGTCTCCGCAGTCTGCTCGGAACGAGCTGCGATCTTGCCATTGTGGTGGCTAATGTGATTGGCCTGGGGCTTTTCGCCCTGATCATGATCGGAGGGTGCACCATCATCATCAAGCAGAGGTAAGCCAGCACGCAATAATTCTGAGTACAATTTGCAGCATGCCACAGGACCACGGGACGGGATAGTAGATATACGAGCCAAGATGCGCAGACATGAGCACATTTTAATTTCTGTGAATAACTAAATATCAAAGGCATTCATATATTGTTTCAAATATCTTTCAAATATATTTGAATCTCTCGAGGCAAGTAAAAAATGGCGCGAACCAGTTAGAGTGTAAAACGTGAAAAGCAGCCTGCAGTCAGGCAAGTGTCCATCCTTCCAGCAACGGTTCGAATCTTGACGAAACCATGGCTAGGTGACTGGTGCGCGATCGAAAAAATCCGCCTGGTTCTGGTATCGAACCAATTTCCAATGGAGCGCTCTACCAACTGGGCTAACCAGGAGTTACACGTATGTAGAAAAAAACAGGCTCTATCAGCTGCCACCAGTCTAATACCAAGAAGGGTGAACGGCTTGCATTTTGAAGGTTAATTGCATTATTATTCGGTTCTATTCTTGTTGAGATTTTGTTTCCCCCAGACCCATCTAGTCTCGCGTATCACGAACAGGTGCACTAGATTGCCTCTTTGATTTAGATTTGTTTGTCTCGTCCGATTTCGTTTCGTTTTTCTTTTTATCTCCACGACACAACTGCGCTCACCTAGGCCAACGGTTCGACCGAATGTTCTTGTTCCTTACGGCCTACTTATAGGTACGAGAAAAGGGTGAAGCAAACCGAAGCCCGCCTGCGTGAACTCGGCCTTCTCTCGTCGAACAACGTGCTATCCTTGGACGGATGGGAGATGCCTCGAGACTACATCGTGATCAACCGCAAGCTGGGCGAAGGGGCCTTCGGCACCGTCTACGGAGGAGAGGCCTTCGTCCCCGACAAGGGCTGGGTCGCCGTCGCCGTCAAGACACTCAAGGTCGGAGCCATCGTCGAGGAAAAGGTACGACCGCTTTCCAGACCTTCACTCCGCCTTAGCGCCCCAAAACAAGGTTGTTGCTGTGCGTGTTGTTTTGAACAGGAAGAGGGAATGCCTGCGCGTAAGGATAACCTGAATAGACAGGGACCGTTCAATTCGCGCACAGAAGGGGAAAAGGGGTGACAAAAAATCAATGGTATGGAAAAGTGGGGTAATTTTGTCACGGATTTCTGAGCTTGTAGTGTTGAATCAGAAAATTGTTGTATTTGTGGAAGTATTGGATAATGCAGAACCTTCTACATTTAAGATGATGAGAAGGGATAGGCGGAGGTGTCGTCGGGAGTCGTGTCGTTTCTAGGTGGAAGGCCGGAATTTTTATAGGCGCATTTTAAATCTCGTCGTGTGGAGGTACTAGAAAAAAACCTATGTAATACACAAATTTTGCTCTTCGCAGAAAGTGAACATCGTTCCTGTGTGTTACTGGTAGGCTGGGACTTTGGGCGGTGGTAAGACACGAGTGTCGAGCTTGATCGTATTGCGAAAATTCCAGGAGAATAATATAGATATGTTTGGAACATATTTGGATGGCGGATGGGGTGTTATAGATGTGTAAGCACAATCTGCTAGAAGTCGATGTATCACAGTGGACATTACAAATTTTGCCTCGGACACTGGTGGTAGAGGTTTCAATACGCAACGCCTGCGAACTCAGCACTAAAAACGTTTACTCTTTAAGAACGTAAATCAGCTGCTCACAGGGTTAAAACCCCAAGGTTATGGCAGCACGCTTAGGTGCTGGTTAACGGCTCTGGTAATGTTAGCAACATCCTAGAGATTGATTTAATCGGCACCAAGCAACGCAGATCATACACTGGTGTCGAATGGACGGAAGCTACAAATGCAGACGCCATTAAGCACGTCCGAGACCGGAATCAGGATTGTTGTGAATGTTACAAGTACGTCGCTTGGTTATCGTCATTATGTTCCATGAAGTGTAATATTGCGAAGCTCAAGGGATGCATCTCCATGTCAAGACATTGGTCTAGGCACTAAATAGGTTAGATATAGTCGATAAAACAACCTCCCATAAAGCTATTTGAAGCTGGTTTAAGGTCGCTTAGACCATTGTGGCAGTACCCTCTTCTACACCCTTCAGAAATGAATGGTGTTCCATGGAACAGCATCCTATTTTATTAGTCGAAATCAGGGTTCCGAAACGGTGTTGCGATGTGTGTAAGTCTAAACACCCTTTCTACACCCTTAAGGGTGTCAATTTTTAGTGCGTTGGCATTAGAATATTCGTTTTGACGAAAACCCGGTGGTGTATTTCGTTTATCAGCATCGGGGAGAGCGGGAGAAGGAGGGGGAAAGGGTGACTCGTGCGACGCTCCCATTGGTCCGAAGCGCTGACGTCAGCACGAGTCAACCTCTCCTTCTCTTGCCGGCGTTGACAAACTGAGACGCCGCCGGGTTTTCGCCAAAACGAGCCCTTTTGTTTTTGTCAGTCACGCTCACAGCTGGCGCTGAGCCAGAGAGGAGGACGCGCCGCGGCGCGGTGGAATGCGAGCGTGTTCAGTTGCCTTTCTGCCGTTGCGGGTTGTTCTTCGCTCTAGGTTTCCGTAGTAGCGGTGCGAGAGCTGCGATGTGTGTCTTTAGTTAAAGCGATGGTTACGGTTCCCGTCACAAGTGATATGGATAAGGTTCCTATCACGAGTGGTATGGATGACCGTATCCAAGGGCGTCGGTGTACTCTGAAAGGCAGATTACAGAAAAGGGTTGAAAACATTAAAAGACGATCCATTGGTGGATTCTTCGGGAATGCGTTAGCATGACCATTGGGAAACTCCACACGCGTCCCCCTTGGGAAACGCTAACGCCGACCCCGTAATGACATGAATACCCCGTTCACACGATCATAAACGTCCCTTTAGCTAAGGGACCTTAATGGACAGCGGCGAATGAGTTCGCGATCCCTCGCGCGTAGCATGTGCTCGCGATCCATCAGCGCGGGCTGATTTGCCGATTACAAAGGGACCTATGTTAAAGGTACAGTGCTAATCACGCTTGTCTATAACGCGTGAGCGTGCGGTTTTCTCCGGGGAGCGCTAGACTGGTGGCATTCGCGGAAACTAAGCTAGTCACGTGGCGCAACATGGAACGGCCCGCTCGAGGGGTGTACCGCCCACTCTATCAGCTTGATAAGCGATAAAAGTAAAGTGCTTTATGATATGTTTTTGTTTTTTGATGACGACATCGCTGATACGCCTTCATGCTTTAGTTTGTTTATTGTTCGAGCAATTTTTGTAAAAAGCGTGCGAGCAGCCTTCCGCGTTCGGCGCCATCTGATTGAGTGCGTAGGACACCCCTTGAGCGGGCCGCTCCATGTTGCGCCACGTGACTAGCTTAGTTTCTACGAATGCCACCAGTCTAGCGCTCCCCGGAGAAAGCCGCACGCTCGCGCGTTATAGACAAGTGTGATTAGCACTGTACCTTTATGCTGGTCGTGTGAATAGGGTATAAAACAAGGCAGCAAAATAATAAGAACAGCCAGAAGATAAAGCCGAAACAGGAAAGTGAAGGGGTAAGCGTTATCGTTTCCCAAAAGGGGACGTATGTGGCGTTTCCTGAGGGTCAATCTGACGCTTTCCATAACTATCCACCAATGGATCTGCCTTTAGTTCTATAGCATGTGTGGCTGACCCATATGAGGATGTAGTTGCAGCGTCTGCGGGCTTCGTTTTAGCTTGGGATGAAGAGGCTGGGTTCGTCTTGCTGGTTGGCTTCCGTAGCAAGTGTATAGGCCGTTCTTTGTCATTGATGTGTGTGTCATCAACTGAAACGCGAGTTGGCATTCTTGACTACAAAGTTTTAAGACCTTGACAACAACATACAACCCAATAAGAAAGCCAGATTTAGGGCGTGCAGGATTCATAGCGCACTTTGAGAGTCTGATAGAATAACCTTTTTGCAATGAGCCAAACCTGGAAGCCAGTCGAATCCTCCTCCTAGTGCCGCTTATTCTGCCGTCGGAAATGTCGTTGCAACGTGGCGTGATCGTTCAATTCCCGCATAGGGAAACTAAGTACGATGGTGGGGCTCAGGGTCCCATCAGTGGAAACATAAATACGGCCTTCGTATTCGCTCGCAAAGTGGTTGCAAGCGACCTCCAACAATGGCTGGAATGCAGTCCTCCTTTGAGCAGTACGGAAGTGTTTCTTTTTCAACGTAAGATGAGTGGTTATCAGTAGGGGTTCTACTTGGCAGCTTAAATCCCTGTACGTATGGACGTGTTTGAGAGTTTGAACGGTTATGGATGATTGACAGCAGGGATGCCGTAGAGCAGTGGTTCTCAACCATTGGTGTTTCGCGGACCCCCTGTGGATCGGCGGACATGATGGGGGACCGCGTTCGTGGTGAGGGCAAGGTAATGGTGTAGGTTAATTATAATGTTTTAATAAATGAATATTGCTAAGGGCTAGTGCAAAATAGACTTCTCTCACTGACATGCACACGAGTAACCTCACGCTAACATTAAAATATTTTTTCTCAATTTGAAAAAAAAAAAAAAAAAAAAATACGGAGACCGGAAACCCTGCCACTGCAAAGTTAAGCAAACACGGGCTTTGTGCACTACATTAGTGCACACCTTGTGTAACCCTCTGGGGGCTGCCAAGACATCCGGGCATTCTTACCGTCAGTGCACAGTCGGAGGTCATAGCGAGTTTTCGTAGACTGCGTTTCGCCCTCCGCTAAGCCCGACGCAACGAAGAAACCGCTACAGCGCCTGCGGGTAACGTTCCGGGTAACGCTGCGGAGAGCGTTGAGCGATGGCGAAAACGATCCGATATAGACACAGCATTGATTCTCAATCAATTCTGTCAGTGTCTGATGAAGAATGGCATTCCGCTACAAAAATTGTTTTTCACTTTTTATTGAAAACGTGTTGACTTCTTGTTAACTCCGATTAATTTCTTTTGACTTTAACTTCCTGTTGATATGATCAACAAAAAGTTAATTTGTTGTAAAAATTTTTTGTTCATTTCCAGCAGCCTGATATATAAAAAAAGCTGTTGACTTCCTGTTAATTCTGCGTGATTTTTTTTTGTCCCGCAGATTTCCTGCTGACAGAAAGACTGCAGACGTTTTCTTGACTTTATATTGAACATGGTATCTTTGACCATATATCAAAATTTTACTAGTTCCTTCATAGTCACTGACAAGGTGAGAAGGGCAGGGAGAAGCTTCAGCCAGAGCCGTATATGTGGATAGTTTTTTCAATGGGAGGCGCGGGCAGAGCCAGGGCGTGCGCCAGACTCGGAAAGAGGGCATGGCATGCTCTCTTGACCAACCAGAAGCCGAAAAGAATCCCCTAGCGGTGGTAGCGAGAAACAGTTCTGATCAAAGGTCTATGTTCGTATATGGCTCTCATAAGCGCGTAAGAGTGAGGTGTAGTAACTCTTCGTGGTTGAAAATAGGGTGCACGTGTTGTTTTGATCATGATCACGCAGAAAGATGTAAGAAACGAAAGCGCCGCTCAACTCTGTTTTGCGCGGACAAAGTGTGACCACTCGGACGGCAGATTCCCGGCTTTCGGCGCTTGGCGTACGGATTATATCGATCGTTCCGCTAGTCGCACTCTTCCACCATCATTTCGGATGAGCGTGATTGAAACATCACGTGTACCATATTTTCAGCCATCGAGAGTTACTCCAATGCAGTTATCAGGTTTGTTTCTCGCGACCACCGCCAGGGTATTATTTCCGGCTTCTGGTTGGTCACATTCGAATTTCTGAAGACGCCCTGGAACACGCCCAGCCCGCTTTCGGCCAATGGCGCCTCCTCATTTGTCTCCTATACTTCCCAACGAATGGCCAAACTCTCTACATATACGGCTCTGGCTTCAGCTGTCCCGCCTCCTGCGCGAGCCTCCTACCGTTTCCAACGCTTCGGCATATCGCGCACCTCGACAACGCGCGTGCGGTCAAAGGTACGATGGAAGGCATGAAGCGTGTGCTGGATGCCGTGCGTTTGACAGACGTGCCCTGCCCTTCTTGCTTGGTTGGTGATAATAGTACTTCATTGATCCTATTAAGCTAGTTGATTAGTAGAGAAATGAGACAATAAAATATATATTTGAATATGGAGCCAATATACCTGACTCGCCTCGTCCTGAGTGGTGCTATATCCAAAGAATAGATAACATACGTTCTAGAAGCCGCTTTTGTAAGAGTGTGGTTAGCGACTGTGCCGAATAATTATTGCTTGTACCCATGCTTTGTAATAGATATTCCAAGAACGTCGACACACTGTTTTCCCTCTGACAGACTTTTGAGAAGGCGATATGATTGTTTGAACCTTAATACATACTGAGGTGAATAAAGTTTGCCAATTTTTTGCGTTATTGGCGGCCGTCAATCTGCAGCGGAGTGAAAAGCCGCAAAACTTCAAAAACTATGGTAAATGGATAGCTAAGGCGTGAGGCATATATAGTTGTTTTTCTTTTTGGATGACTGGAGCTTTTCAATTAAAAAGGTACAGAAAAAGCATGTTGGAGGCGACAGAAAGTCGACAATTTCTATTCAAAAGTACGCCAATATTCAATAGAAGGTCGACAGAAGAGCTAGAGAAAGTAAAATGAAAAGCCGTTGACGTTACATATCCTCTTGTGACATTTTTCAACAGCTTTTCAACTAGAAATCGCTTTTTTTTTTTGTAAGGTTCGTGTGGATGGGCATCGAAAGATTTTCACATGTCAAATGTACGTACCGGACAATGAAAAGGATCAGCTATGGTGTCAAAGGTTCATTTGTCATGCTAGTAGCCGCATGGTTGATTTCGTAGTGCTTCTGTGAATTCGATCAACTAAGTCATTCTTGAAAGTATTCGTTGTTCCATTAATTTTATGACAAATTTGGTCAGTAATAGGTCGATACGATTCAATTCAATCTATGGACAACTGAAGTGAGTGATGATATAGGTAGTTCTGCCTTTCCCCCCATGGGATTAATTAAATTAACTGAGGTTTGTCTATGCTAGAGGCAAGATATATCTAAGCTCAAAATGTTACTCCGCGCGGTCCTTGTGCCCGTTTGACGGCAGGAGCGGCGGAGGCAAGCATCGAGCTCGGAGCTAGTAAAGTCCGCGTACAGCAGGGCAAGGAGTTTTCTGTGGAACGAGGGCCTAGTCCATGTGTTCCTATGGTGGCGGTGTTTGGGCGACGTTGGAATCTGCGAGAAGCTCCGCAGTTCTATAGTTGAGTCCTAAATGAGATTTTTATATTCGTCAATAATCTGACTATCCACGACCCTCCAGAAATGCCCGACAGAAAGCCACATGACTCGCACAGTTAGATTCCAAACTAGTCGCTGGAGGCACTCGGTGTATCGTCGAAATTTGGCGACAGTCTTGCGGTGCAGACTCCGTTCAGCGGGAACACGGCTCCTGAGTTCGGCGCTCAAAACAAGGATTGTGTGCGAGTTCTCCACTGCTTATTGGCATTGGTCAATAAGCCCGAGTGTCTCCGAGGGTAAGAAAATTGGCTAGTGTCGTATAATCGGCCAATATATCTTGGTGCGATATCAGCAAATATTGCACGGCGGAGGGGAACCGCAACAAGCCGGGCGAGAAGCTACATTTGTGGAACTAGGCTTTGATCACAGTTTTGTTGACAGCTCCTTAACATTTTGGTGTTGCGAACTATCGACAACGCCAATTAGTTAATCGGCTGCAATACTACGTCTAACCTGGTCGGCCAGGGAAGCGTTTTACGTCTTTGTGTGAGAACGGAATATGCTGGCTGGCATTTAAGTTCGAGATCGCGATAAGCGTTACGTAACCTGTTTCGGGGACTTGCCGCAATTCATGATTCTTGTGCCTTTCAGCTGGACTTCTTGTGCGAGGCCGAGATGATGAAGCGCTTCGACCACAAGAACATCGTGCGCCTTCTCGGCGTGTGCACTTTGGGAGAGCCCGTGTACACAGTCATGGAGTTCATGTTGTACGGGGACCTCAAGACGTACCTGCTGGCTCGGCGTCACTTGGTCAAGGAGACCAATCGCAACGACTCGGAAGAGGTGTCGGACAAGTGCCTCACGGCCATGGCTCTCGACGTGGCGCGAGGACTGAGCTATCTGGCCGACCTCAAGTACGTGCACCGGGACCTAGCCTGTCGCAACTGCCTCGTGAATGCCGGAAGGACCGTCAAGATCGGAGACTTCGGCATGTGCCGGCCGATGTACGACTCCGATTACTATAGGTTCAACAAGCGCGGCATGCTACCTGTACGGTGGATGGCTCCTGAAAGCCTCACCGACGGCATCTTTACCACCATGTCCGACGTATGGAGCTACGGGGTACTGCTATACGAGATCGTCACCTTCGCTAGCTTCCCGTACCAGGGCTTATCAAACAACCAAGTGCTCGACTTCGTGAAGGACTTCAACACCCTCCCGGTGCCCAATGGCTGCAAGCCCGAGCTGTGAGTTTCCATATTTCTTATACTCTTAAAGTCGATTCCCTCGCCAAGAATGTGTTGGCTGTCGAATTCAGATGTAATGTGCTCAATCACGCATATAACAAAATGGTTCTCAATAATACTTGTTGACTACCCTGTTACGCTTCAATCAACATTTTGCTAAATTACCCAAGCGTCAAATAGATTGCTGGGAACGTAGGTACACGCGCTGCACGCGCCCGCCTTCTTTATACAAAAGATCCGAAGTAAATAACCAAAATATTTGTGCAACGCACGTGCGGAGTGCCATTCTAGATTTTTGCTTTCCAACATTTATAACTGCAGACGCCTGCACGCGCAGCGTGTTTACCTACCATTCTTTTTTATGCTTGTGTAATTCGGCAAAAGGTGTATTCGTTACCAGCAACTTTGCTTGAAACAGGCTTATTTATTTGCGCGACGTCACTTCACGGGAGTATTCACGCTTCAGGGCTAACGCCTCAGGGCTATTGTAGCCTGTGTGCGAAGAAAATTTTCCTTTGTGTCCTGCAGGGAGGCCCTGTTGTTTCGCTGTTGGTCTAGATGCGCCCAGCAACGGCCCGCTGCGTGCGAGATTGTCGAGATTCTCGCCAACTACAATAGCATCATCTCCCCGTGCCTCGGTCTGCCGCTGGCCAGCGTCCAAGTGGAAGGCACAGACTCCCTCGACCTGACTTCCATCGGAGCTCGAAACCGGTTGCACTCCATTTCGTTACTGGACCGAAAGGCTGAGTCACCGCCGCCTCTTCCGCTGAACAACGGCAACAGGGCCCCGCTCGTGAACGCCGCCGCTCAGCAGCCGGGCTCGCCGTCCGACCTCCCAAGGCAACCAGCACGTCACCCTGCTCCAGTCCTTTCGCTCCACGGGCCAAGTCGACGGCTTCGCCCAGTGCTCGGCCCAGAACATGGCGTCTCTATGAGCGTGAGCAAGGCCCTGTAGCGACGGCATGCCACCTTCGAAGTTCCCTGCAGTGTGTAACATTTTGCGCATGTGTGTGAGACCCTGGTACGCTCAAAGGTTCAACATGAAAGTCTCACTCTGGCGGTGCTCTCCAAGAACTGGCAGTAAGCGTCCAGCTGCCGATTCAGAATGTCATCCTAGCCATCGGAGACGCATTCACTCTTGACCCTGAAAGGTCGCGGACAACTCCAGATTGTGACTTTCGCGTTCATATGTGGCGGCATGGGATCATTAACGTGCGTGTCGGATCTTCCATGTACTTTTTGCTTACCACTCTCCAACTTCAGTCCTGCGAACTTGCCCTCCGAATGCGCAGCCACGGATCTCTCATCGTTCTGGTCTGCTGTTCAGACAGATCCATATGCCCTGCTCCGCCTGCTCTTCGACCGTGCGTATTCACGAGACAGTGCAGCCGTTTTCAAACTAATCCAGTGTCGAGTGTTGACCGCTCGTGGACACTGCAACATTAGCCCAGCTGTGCCGCGGCTTCGTAGCCTGGATACATTTCAAGACGACCGAGACTCGTCGCTTTTCAAACGCGCTTCTAGTCCTTCACCAAACGAACAAAATGTGCGACAGGTTGTCACTTCATACGTGGTGTTCGTGTACTTTTTTGCGTGTGGAAATGCAAGGTGTTTCAGCGAAGGAAACTCTTTCCGGGAGCAGACTCCCAGCCACGGCGGACGTCGAGGATTGCAAGAAAAATACTAATTAGCCAAATAAATCACTAAAATTGTATGAATTTTGTAGTAATAACAATAGGCACGCGGTTCCAATGAGAAACTTGATATTGCGGTGTTCGATGATGCTTAGTAACTCGTTAAAAAAAATTAAGCAAAGGCAAAAAGAAAAAAAAAAAAAAACACAAGTTTTGCGTTATATTTTTTATGTTAGTAGGGAGGCCAGGTATCAGCTTCGTGCCTCGATCATCGGGGAGCATGGCCGCTGTCGCAACGATGCGCTCTCAAAGGAATCCGAAACATAGAAACTAGTCAAAATTAAGCGTTTTTTTTTTTTCGGAATGGTGCCCCTGTTTTGTAGCTTTCTAAAATGAGTTGATTTAGTGGTTTCCGAGTATGCTTAGCAGGCTCATCCTTGGAAAGACGTGTTTATTTTCACGAATGTAAAATATAACGAGTAAATTTGAGTTGTTTATACAGCCAATTAGTACGTTTTTGGGCTTCCTGGTCCTCCGTGGCTAACAATTTGTTCCCGAAAGTTTTCTTGAAAGCCTTCGCTGTATCACCCGGTATACATACATTTATGTATATTATAATTGTAATTAGCGTGCCTGCGTCGCTGTGCTGTTCGGAGAGCTAACATGGAAACGTAAGGCGCTTCGAGATGCCCAAAATAGTGTGTTCTCTATCTCTATTCTAGGGGCGGATCCGGAACTCCGTTTTTTTTTTGTTTTTTTTTTGGGCGGGGCGGGGGGGGGGGGGGGGGGGGGGCGGGAGAATTGGTAAGGTTACTATTCTCCAGTCTTGTACACGTTACTTAAAAAAAGTAATCGATTACAATTATTATTACTATTGGCTAAAAAGTATTCGATTAGAATACTTGATTACTCGACGGCAAAAGTAATTGGACATTACTTAAGGAAGTAATCGTTACTTTTCCGATTACTTTATTGTGTGAAGACACATCTTTAGCGCTCATAACAATGAACTACTTCCAACCTATATTTCACATTTGCACAAGTATTGAAGAAGAAAAACTGGCTCCCTCTTCGTGGTCGTTGCACTTTCACAATGCTGACACAAGCATAGAATTCGTTTGAAGACGTTTAATGATTTGGGCGTTCGCCAATGTGTGTGTGTGTGTGGGGGGGGGGGGGGGGGGAGCTAAGGGGGTCCGCTTGAGCAAGGGTTCTCGCTCAAAGTTTGCGTCGCTCATTTTATTACTCACATGTGGATGAGCTCGCATGTCATACAAAAGAGCAGCAGCTCCAGGATTTGAAACGGATCATGTGTAGTATCCACTGGCGGAAGAGATCGCCCCGACCACTTCTCAACTCGAAACATTGCTTGTCACAAAGACCACGTAGGGGAAATGGGGAAATATTTCAACTGCCTTTGTTATATTTTGCATCCGCTTTAGGCATTCTTCGGTTCTGGTTCTCCTACGGGCTGCGAGTAGGTAAACTAGGCAGGATTTTTTAATTTTTTATTTCTGTGTGTGTGTGTGCGTGAGGGGGCTAGTTTGAACGAAAGACTCACAAAGCTACATTCTGATTCCTCAAAATTTGCCCGGAATGGCCTTTGTCACGCACTGTGGCTTCCCTGGGGCTTCCCGCTCCCAGTCCCAGCTCGAAAAAATAAATGGACATTCCACACAAACTGTACATAGCAAGAGATTGACCTCGTTTCCAACAGCTCCGCAAAAATCTTTCTTTTTTTCCGATCGAAAAAAAAAGCTAATTTTATTTTTGTCAATTCCAAAAAAAAAAGCGTCTGCCGTGGACAAATTGTAATGGTTACAAGTAATTTTATTACTTCGAAAAGTAATCAGATTACTCTTATGATTACTGCCTAATAAAAGTTATCAACTGATTACAAAATTACTCCCAAAAGTAATCGATTACAAGTAATTCGATTACTTGTAATGCGTACGGTACAAGTCTGCAGTATTCTCCCATCCTTTCTGTGTACCGGGACCCATGTCAAATTTCCCTCTGGGAGGGGGGAGGAAGGTGGGTCGACTTTGTCTGAAAAGGGGGGGGGGGTACGGCCGCCCCCCCCCCCCCCCTTCTTGGATCCGCCCCCTGCTCTATTCGAACTTTGAAGCGTCGAGAGGGTTTGCGGCTACAGCTTTCCCTTGTTCTTGTTCCCACTTTCTTAAGTTCTTAAGGTGCTGTTTATCTTCTTCAGTTACATAAAGAATACTCGTTACTAAGTTATTTCAAAGTGAACTAACACGTCCTTTTTTTTGTACATTCTCGTTTGTTGTCTTTATAATTTCGTAGCAGTAAAATTCTGCCCGTGTGTGTGACGGGTCCTTTATGGTTACTAATACTTTCTTTTTTTTTTAAATAAAAAAAAGCTTTAATATAGAGTTTACCCAAACACGTTCATGATTAGCTGATAAGCAGATTTCTGCGAACTTTCCAAGGTTTCATCTGCGCAGATGTTGATCATGCTGTGTTTGTAGTTTATCGAATACATATTTCTAAACGTATTGGCAAAGGCTCGGATATTATATAGAATGTTTATCGCCTGTTAAAACCCTTGAAGTTTAATCTTGAGAGAGCAGTTTTAATCTTTTCAACGGGGGACAATAAAACTGATCGAATTAATTACACAATTCAGATCTTCAAACAAATAAACCAAATAAAATTTGAAATAAAAAACAAACTAATTTCCGATGTAGGAAACGAACATGAAGAAATACATTTTCGTGTGTTTTAGTAAATCAGATATGACGATACTATTGAGTATTCATACGAATATAGTCTGCAACTGTGACGAATGTGTGGAGTGAAATTTTAGATGACCAAACAAAGGGAAGGAAGCTTTTCGAGGAACACAATGCAGGTTTTATGTTCAAACTGAGGTCTTATTTGTCGGCCCTTCGTTTCGCAAATTTCGCAAGCCTACAGACGTGGTTTTCTAACCGCGCACAGCAGAGGAACCAGAGTTGAACGACCTTCGAGCATCGAAAGTACAAAGTGACTGTCGCAATCGTGACTCGCATTCGCGTCGTACTCGAGTCATTTACAAATAAAGGATACGAAAAACTTTAATTCGTGTGCTTGTCAATTCACAATGTTGCTCGGAAGCAGTCGGACAGCGCTGTTTAAATGATTTTCACTGGTTCCGTCATAAGGATGCTAAGAAACTCTCACCAATATAGCCGACCGCCACTCAACCCTTGGGAACCTTCGTGGAAACGTTTTGTCCGGATGTTTCTGCATTACATATGTAGAGGGTGTTGCACGGAACGCCGGCCAGATCGTTCCTACAAAAAGTAGCCATTGCACAGAAAAAACAATAGCAACTGTTGATGTCGTATTGGTCTCTACCAAAGGGTTGATTTAGTAAAATAAGTATCGTTGGGTATACTCAGGTCAATAATTACATCCGGGTAATTTAATTTCTAATTCAGAAATTTAAACGTACGGTTTCGATCAGAAACTGTGTGCATCGCCGAAAGCCACTAAATCGGCCCACTTTACAAAAGTGTACGGCACACGCGGAATTTTTTATTCTTCCAAAAAATCCACTCAATCTGGACACTTCCTTCTTCAGTTTCGGTTTCTTATCAAAACTCGTACCTGCCCTAGCGGTCCTGCTCCCCGGGAACAAAGTGGGAACTGCCTACTCGCCTCTCGTAGGAGAGAAAAGTACGGCCCGTGTCGATGAAATGAAACTCTGCGCTGTTGGAAGAATCAACTTTAAGCGCCAAACACATGTACGACGGAACCGTCCGATCCGACGTGCGAACTGCCGGAATGACCTTCGGGGGCGGGTATTTTTGTAGCACTGGGGAACGTCGAAAACCGTCGCCTCCGACCGTCGTATTGCCTGATCGAACGTCGGATCGGACAGTTTCGTCGTACATGTGTTTCGCGCTTTATTCTTTCGTTCACTTCCGTCGTGCGAAGAAAGTGTGGCGGCGCGCCTTAGTTGTGCGCTTGGGCCACGGGGAGCAGGGCCGTTGGCGCAAGAGTTCACTAAAGCCCAAGGAAGTCTAAATTCGGTGATGTTTTCTAACTCGAACCATAGCTTTTAATTAACCAACAAAAAAGTTGATTTCTCAAATTTAATCAATCTCGTTATGGCGAACGTCAATAACATTGCTGAGTAACCCAGCAGGAAACGATTTGGCCGACATTCCGTGAAACTCCTAGTTCAATGATGTCTTGTTAATATGGACACCTCCGTTCCCCCAACAATCCTCAATGCGAGTTCTCTTTATTATCGAGACAAAACGTATTTATCCAGTTCATGCCTGATAATT